AGTCAGAAGGTTGCCGTCAAGCTGGAGGTTTTAGGATAAAAATGTGTCCACATTTTTGGACACAGCCTTGTCAATGGCCTTATTTGATCTTGAGATGAAATGCTGAAAGCAAGTTTTCTGAACATTTAAGGTCTCTCCTCACCTTCCAGCACTCCAGTTTTATTAAAAAAAAATTTTTTTCATAAATGCCAGTTGGATTTAGAGATTTTTTAATAATGTAACTGAGTGCATAATGTTTAACATACAAACGGTATGAGACAAATGGGGAAACCAAGTCATCAATGATCAAAGGAACTTGCTTTCCCACCGGGCCACCAGAAACAGTTCTGCCTAATGAGTGTCCAGCCCTGTGAAAATTATCTACATTTGGCCGGGCGCGGTGGCTCAAGCCTGTAATCCCAGCACTTTGGGAGGCCGAGGCGGGTGGATCATGAGGTCGAGAGATCGAGACCATCCTGGTCAACGTGGTGAAACCCCGTCTCTACTAAAAATACAAAAAACTAGCTGGGCATGGTGGCACATGCCTGTAATCCCAGCTACTCAGGAGGCTGAGGCAGGAGAATTGCCTGAACCCAGGAGGCGGAGGTTGCGGTGAGCCGAGATCGCGCCATTGCACTCCAGCCTGGGTAACAAGAGCGAAACTCCGTCTCAAAAAAAAAAAAAAAAGAAAATTATCTACATTTAGGCTGGGCGCGATGACTCACGTCTGAAATCCCAGCACTTTGGGAGGCTGAGGCAGGCAGATCACCTGAGGTCAGGAGTTCGAGACCAGCCTGACCAACATGGAGAAACCCTGTCTCTACTAAAAATACAAAGATTAGCCACCATTAGCCAGGCGTGGTGGCACATGCCTGTAATCCCAGCTAGTCAGGAGACTGAGGCAGGAGAATCACTTGAACCTGGGAGGCGGAGGTTGCAGTGAGCCGAGATTGTGCCACTGCACTCCAGCCTGGGCAACAAGAGCAAAACTCTGTCTCAAAAAAAAAGAAAAAAAGAAAGAAAGAAAATGATCTATACTTAAATCTTAAAAAGCAAGCACATTTCTCTTCCCCTGACTCGCTAGAAAAAAAAATGTAATAAATAACTCAAGGCCAGGAGATAACCCCTTATAAGGCCATGTTATAGGTTGGTGGGTGCTGATTAAAAAGTATGCCATGAGAGACAAGTTAAGGAATTAGTTTCTAGCTGCAGATTATAGTCTTCTTATTAAAAGACAACATAGTTTTCCTACATCATCCACCATAAAGCAAGCCAATGTATGGGCTAAAATGACTGAATGCATTTAAAACTGGTGAAGAAATAGGAAAAGGCACAGTAGTGAATGGTTGCTCATCAGAACAGAGAGTGTGAGGGATAGGAGTGATGTCCTTTAAACACATTCATTAATAATTTGAGGAAGGAAGTGAAGTTCGAGTTTGTGATGATGCAATATTGTTCCAGTTACTAAACATCATGAAGAAAAGAGAGGAACTCTAGATGAATTTAAAACACAATGTAAGGGCAATAAGGGGAGTAAGATGTAACAGAATCCTTGTAATTATACTGTAAGTCTTGTTAGTCTTTAGAAAACTTTATTTTCCAAATATTTTATATTAAGAAAACATTGACGTTACTAAAGATCTCTTCAAGGTAGGCCAGTATCAGTAAAAACAGAGTAATTAGAAGTGGCTTCGGAGGAAAAAGCATGAAGTTTGGGGATTTCAGTGAAATAGCATGTAAGTCTGAAATCTGCAACAGGAAGACTGTCTGGAAGAAAAAAAAAAGTGGAATGTCACTTTATGTAAAATTATTTTCCTGCCTTTAGTGACCATTTAGTAATAGAGTTATGTACTTGGGGTTCAGCTAGTGACAAAGAAGGGAAATTAGAAGATTTTGGCACAGATATTGATTCTTTATCCATTTAGACAGGCATGATAATGAATAATAAATACAAATCAGAATTTTCAAAAAAAGGAAAATTTCAAGTCTGCATAGTGAAGGCAGGAAGCTAGTATGATTCCACCCATTCATTTGATAGATGTTTACTGAGGGGAGTTCAAAAAGTGAATCTAGGATTATATGAACATGTCCAGGTATTATATGTAAAAGTGATCAAGGCTTTACAAAGGTTCAATAATTTCTCTGTCTATTGGAGAAAGAAATAGGTGGATGAGGCAGCATTTGACCAGGCAGAAGGAAGGCCAGAATCAGGCTAATGAGAAAGTGGCTCTGTGTGGCTGGAGATCAGAGGAGTCAGGTAGGCTGGGTCCAGTCCCCGCCCTGAACACTTGGCTGAGAAATTTGAACTTTAGTCATTTCTAGCATTGTTTGTGACATGTAGTGGCTCTTGCTAACTGGCTGAAGGGATGAATGAAGCCATTGATGTTTTCTTGAGCAGGCAACTGGCAAGCTCTAACTTTTTTTTTTTGTTAGGAAGGTTAATTTAAGTGGTATGTAGGAGGAATGAGAGGGATGGGGGACATTACAAGAGTTTCAGTCAAAAGCATGAGGTTAGTTACTGAGATAATCTTACTACGTGCTTAGTATTCCACTAGATGCTTCACATACCTGCTCCCAATAATTATTTCACCCTAATAACAACTCGTCAAAGAAGAAAGTTTATCATTTCCACTTTACTGTTAAAGAAACAGGTTTATATACCCTAAGTGCATGCAAAAAAAATTAAAAAATAAAAAAAGAAAAAGAAAAAGAAAAAAAAGAAACAGGTTTAACCGGGTACAGTGGCTTACACCAGCACTTTGGGAGGCTGATGCAGATGGATCACTTGAGCCCAAGAGTTCAAGACCAGCCTGGGCAATGTGGCGACCCCATCTCTACCAAAAATACAAAAATTAGCTGGACATGATGGTGCACACCTGTGGTCCCAGCTACTCAGGAGGTTGATGTGGGAGGATTACTTGAACCCAGGAAGTTGAGGCTGCAGTGAACCAAGATCGTGCCACTGCACTCCAGCCTGGGCAACAGAGCAAGACTGTCAAAAAAAAAAAAAAAAGAAAAAAGAAAAAAGAAGAAAAGAAACAGGTTTAGAAAGGTTGAGTAACTTGCCCAAATGTAAAATCAGACAAAGAGCCTGATTCTAAAAAGGCACACCTTTAAAAATAAGGGGGAAAAAGGCTCTGTAACACGTTGATACTCTCTAAATGAGTATAATTTTAACAAGGGCAATGACAGAGAATGGAAAGGAAGGAAGAGATTTCCGCAGAGTCGGAGGATGTGGCAACTGAAAACAGTATGGGGACAACGGATAAGAAAAAGTCAAAGTTTCTAGCCCGAGTAACAGTATACAGGTGTGAACTCGGATTTGGAAAGGAAGACAGGAAATTAATTAAGTTTTGAACTTACTGTATGAAATGACAGCAGAACAGTCGTATAAGAGGAGGTGGTTCACTTTATCCAACAGATGTAAAGATCATATTGGGGAACAGGGGTTACCTGCAACACAGGCAGAGCTGGAAGCTTTGCTGGCCAGGCACATGATAATCTCTGGCCATTCTCTGGGGCTGTCCAGCCTTGGCAAGTGCAGCACATTTGTCTTCGGTTTTCAGGTTTCCCCATCCTATTTCTTTTTTTTTCTTTCTTTCCCCCTTTTTTTTGAAACAGAGTCTCGCTCTGTCTCCTAGGCTGGAGGGCAGTGGCCCAATCTCTGCTCACTGCAACCTCTGCCTCCCGGATTCAAGCAATTCTCCTGCCTCAGCCTCATGAGTAGCTGGGACTGCAGGAGCCACCACGCCCGGCTAATTTTTGTCTTTTTAGTAGAGACGGGGTTTCACTATGTTGGCCCAGCTGGTCTCGAACTCCTAAGACCTAACCTCTTTCTTCATCCTCTCACCTCGGCCTCCTAGAGTGCTGGGATTACAGGCGTGACCCACCGCGTCTGGCCACCCCATTCTATTTCTCATCTTCCAGTGCCTCTGCACTTTTCTGTATCTCCCTCCAGACTGAGCTGGAGCTCTCTTCACCTCGAGCTTGTATATATCTCTGAATCTGAGGCCATCACTATTTCTGACCCTCAAAAAGTATTTGTTGACTGACTGGCTTATTCCTGTTGTTGCCCTGGAAAAGAATTACCCTGCCCTATTAAGTCACAGTTTCTTCCTTCTTCGGGCAGCGCAGTTAATAACCTCAACACCAGGAAATTGTCTTTCTCATCACATACCAGGGTATTATTCATGCAGTTTACTCACTGTAAAGAGTTCCCTTGAAATAAAGCTAACAATTAGTCAAAGATTTACACATTTTCCAGGGTCAGTCAACTTTTTAACAAAGCCAGTGGGCTTTTAAAAGTGGTGGTGGGAACCCTTCTTTGCTTTTTCTGTTCCCGAAATACAAAAGTGATGGTAAATGCTTCAGAATTTCTCTGTGAGGGTGTCAGGCGTTGCACTCACGCTGGAGTTGGGGGTCTATGGTCCTTTTCTTGAACCAGCTTTTGCAGAGAAGTGGTCCTAGTGAGAGTATTTGTGTGGGAGGAGTTTGGCTTGCCAGCGGGGAGTGTTTGGATAATACTGGAGGAGTCTCTCGAATGCATCTCTTGCCTCCTTTTGAATAAGATACTTTTGAGGTCCACCCACCTGCCAAATTCCATTCTATTTTCTTCCCACAGGGAGTTCCCCCGATTGGGAAGGGCCGTTATTTCCCCCTAGCGTTAGGGAATGTGCAGGTCTGTTCGCTGAGGGGAGCCCAATTCTCGGGAGGATTTAGGGATCACCAGAGGGCCGGAGCTTTCTCCCGGTGGGGATTTTAAGGCCGCTCAGAGCCACGACCCGGAGCCACACCTAGCCAGCACCCCAATTCAGGAGGGCGGTTTCGCCTGGGCCCTGCTCGCGGGAGGCGGGGGCGGCGAATGAAGACCCGGGTGGGGCGGGGGCGGGGGCGGGGGCGGGGCGGCCGGGGGCGGGGCGGGGCGGGGCGAGTCAGGCCGCGGCCCGGGGGCGGGGCCAGGCGCGCGGCTCGCCCGGGCCTAGGCCGCTGCTGGGCTCCGCCTCGCCGGGCTACGCAGGCGGCGAGGCTGCGGCACGGGCCCGGCGGCACCATGGCGGCGGCGGCGGCGGCGGCGGCGGCGGCGCCTGCTGCTGCGGCGGCTTCTCCCGATGCGCCGGCGGCGAGTGCAACGGCAGAGCCCGAGGCCGGGGACGAGGACAGTCGCGAGGTTCGAGTGTTGCAGAGCCTGCGGGGCAAGATCTGTAAGCGGGGGCTGGGCTGAAGGGACGCCCCGGCGGCGCCGGGCGCGGGGCTGAGGGGGCGGCGGGCGCGCGGTGGTGGCGGCGCCGAGCCGCGCTGGGAACGCAGGCCTGGGAGGGGGCCTGGGCTGGGCGCGGGCGAGGCTGGAAGGGGGTGTGTTGGGGGCGGCGTCGCCTCGAAGGGGCGGCGTGGGCCGGGGCTGCTTCTCTGGGGAGGGAGTGGGAACAGGGGATTGGCCTGGGGTGGGGGAGTCCCGGCTGCGCCGACGTGAGGGGCTCGGTCGTCCAGAGCGGCCTGGACACTGGGACGCCCGAGCCCGGGGCGCGGCCGGGGGCGCGGTCCGGGGGCGTGAGGAGCTTCCGGCCGCCCTCAGACGCAGGCCTCCGCGCGGCTGCGGGTGCTGGGGAGCGGCCCGGCGGTGCGAGCCGAGTGGTAATTACGCGGAGGCGCGGCCCGAGGAGGAGCGGGCGGGGAAGTGGGGCTGGCCCAAGGGGAGGGGGCTGCTCGTTTCCTGGGCTCGCGGGCCTGGGAGAGGTTGAAAAAGGCGCCCCGAGTTGCAGGAAACAGGCCGCCCTGGGGGCCCGAGTGGCTGCCGCGCGGGCTGTTCGCGGGTGAGCGCGCTGGGAGGGGCTCGGCCGGACACCTGTGCTCGCCCCACCTCGCTGCGGCGGGACTTGAATCGAGGGACGGCGTGGCGGACGGGACTTCAGGCAGGATGTAGTGGCTTCCTGTGAGCAGGTCTCAAAACACAGTCACTTAACCCGCGCTCAGCCCGCTTAATTCCCTTACTTCTCAGGCGTAAAATTGCCACATTAGTGAGCGAGCCGTACCAGTTGACTAAACAGAAAATATTGCTCAGAGTTCTCCGAGCCTTACTGTGGACAGATCATTTGAGTTCTGTCATTTGAACATTATATTTTTAAAAACGACCCTTTATAGTGTCAGGTTGCCATTTCTTTTCACAGTAGTTATTTAGACATACCGCTTTTATTTTTTTCTGTTGGCCAGAGATACCGATAAAACTTTTGCATTTGTCGAAAATGAGCGTCATTTTCCTTATGCAGTATTCTCAGATTGGAAACATGCTTCATGTTTCTTGTAAATAACCCTCAATTATGAGGGCGTACTTTTCACTTTGAAGAAAATTGACTTGCATTGAAGTGGCTAACAATTCTTTCTTGGGCAGGATGTAAAATTTTCCTCTCCTAGAATAGCCATGTTGTTAGTTGAGCTCACATTCTCCCACTTTTCCTCTTTTCAGGTTGTTCCCCCTTTCAGGTATTCGGGATTTTATGAAACCTCAGAAGCGAACATGTTAAATTTTCTTATCTTTTACCTGAAGTAGTCCTAGGGCTCTTAGGAGGCTACAGTTTTTAAACCTAGAAAGTGAAATCGATCTTAGTTCCCAAAATTACTTTCTAGGCCATAAAACCTTTTCAGAATTCATAATAAATTTGATTATTTTATTTTTTCTGTATCCTATTTGAGGGGAAATTTTTATTTTCAACTTTTGCATATGTCTAATGCAATATTTGGGAAAACTGTAAATAGGCCAAAGTTTCTCTTTTTATATGATTTTCCAGACTTTTACCACTTTTTGTTTTCATGCCAGTTGATGCTAGGCATTGTCTTTTGGAGCCTCACTGATACGTAACTGTAGGTTGTACCGTGGAACTGCATATACACATGTCTTGGAATTGAGGGTTAGGGTTTCCAGAAGGACTTAGTTGTCCTGTGCTTTTGTCTGCCCCAGGATAAAGACCACTAAGAACAGTTTTGTAAGTGAAACTTGGGTCTTCAAATTAAAAACAAAACAAAAGAGAAAACCACTTCGTTTCTATGGTTTAAAGCAACCCAAACTTAGGAGATTGATCATCTAGTTGCTGGGGATAATAATGACTGTTCTGGCCATAATTGAAGTATTATATCTGTTATCCTAGTCAGTTTCTTGCTTTTTAGGGTGCTTATCTTGTAGCTCAGGTTATGGAGTGTCTGTTTTGTAGGGGAAAAAAAAGTATTTGTTTACTTGTATACAGAAGCTCCCTTCCCATTTCTTTGTCCTCCTTTTAACTGATACAATCCACAGTTGGTTAACATTCAGAACCTTGTGAAGAGATGCCGTTTTCTGTTTCCCTGAAACTGACATGTGGGTTTTGTAGGGTGAGGGCTGAGGGGTTGGAAGAGTTATTAGCAGGTGCCAAGGTCACAGAAACAAGACGATGGTAGTTCTGACAAGATATTAAGCAGCTTGGGGAGGGTGTAACCATGTCAGCTTTTCTCTTCACAACAGTGGGAAACCTTGGACGAAAGCCTGATAGTGCCCACTAGGAGATTGCTGGCAGATTTTATACTACTGATTGGGAGCCTCTTTTCTGGAGAGCTAGAGATCTGCCGGGGCTGACAATTAGCCTGAAAGGAAATTTTCTTATTTCTGGATTTGCATAGGACCTTTCAACTGCAGATCACCCCAGTGAAAAGTGAGGATGGATTGGTTTATGTATTGTTTTTATTAATTCCCTTCCTTCTTATGCGTATAATTGTTACCTTAGTGAGCGAGCCATACCAGTTGACTAAATATGAAATTTTGTCTGGGTCCGGGGGCGTGAGTTTCACTCTTGTTGCCCAGGCTGGAGTGCAGTGGAAGGCTCTTGCTCACCACAATCTCAGTTTCCAGGGTTCAAGTAATTTTCCGGCCTCAGCCAACTGAGTAGCTGGGATTAAAGGCATGTGTCGCAATGCCTGGCTAATTTTGTATTTTTAGTTCAGGTGGGGTTTCTCCATGTTGGTTAGGCTGGTCTTGAACTCACGACCTCAGGTGATCCTCCTACCTTGGCCTCCCAAAGTGCTGGGATTATGGGCATGAACCACCGTACCTGGCCAGATTGGTTTACCTATCTTCAACATGATAGTCCACAACCTTCTTTAGGGATTTTATTCCTGTAATTATTTCCCCATATGCTTCACAAGGTGAAATATCTGTCAGTTGGACAGATATTTGTCTGTTGGACAAGAGGAAACTTAAACTGGTAACCAAAAAGGTGGAGGTCACAAAATAACAACATGAAACCTGAATATATGTAAAGGAGGAAGCCCCAATGCCCCTTTTTTGCTTGAGTGTGTGGGGTTTTGTTGTTGTTGTTTGTTTTTTTTGGGGGGGCCTGGTTTGGGGGAAGAAGGAGCATGCAAACTTGTTTCAGGTGTGCTAAAATGAACCCAGGGAATTCGGGATCTGCCTATGAGAGAAAATATTGTCAGTAACACTGGATTTGTTGCCGTTTGCTCTAGGAAACCATGACATCTGTGAATTGTCTGCTTCCTTAAACTTATTCAAGGGGTGAGTTTGGTTGCTTGATATCCTAAGGTTGTTATATGAACCCTTGATAAAGGAAATCGGTGTACTCTACTCCATTCTTTGGTCTGAACTCCCGTGTGGTGAGTAGCAGCTATGCTAGCACACCTGAAACACATTTGTATGCTTCCCTCCTCCCCTTGAAAAAACCCACACTCAAGCAAAAAAGAGGGACTGGGGCTTCCTCCTTTATATATCTCCAGGCTTCATGCTGTTATTTTGTGATTTCCTTTTTGATTAGCGCTTGTTAAGTTTCCTCTTGTCCAATTAAATTAGATTGTAAAAATGTTGTGGAAAGCACCCATGCCACCTTATGTGTGGGCTTTTCTACTCAAGGAATACCAGATTAATAAGAGAACCAAATGTGAAATTTTGTGTAAATTTTCAGATGTGTGGTACAGTGCAAGATCTGTGGGACCATGTGTTCCAAAACCCACTTGGTTTCTTTCTCTGATGTCTTCAGACCAAGAATGGCCTAGGGTTGTTTGGCAGAGTAGGGAGGCTCTGTAGGGCATGGTTAAGTGCTTGAGCTTAGAAGCCTGGTGAAGTTAGTCACCTGGGTTTGAATCTTCCCTTAATTTCCAACTTTTGTTAATGTCTTTGGCCCTCCATATTCTCATATATAAAATGGGGATAGTAAAAACACCTGTCTCACAGGATTGCCAGGAGGTTTAAATAAGCCTCCCTCCCCACGTTGCCCCTCCTTATCTCTGCCCACTCTTTCGCACTCCCCAGGATCTGGGTCATGCACGGACCATCTCTTAGGAAGGAGTAAATAGGAGATAAAAACTAATCTTTATCTGATGTTCTTGGCCAACATGTACTGGCATTTCCAGGTGTACAAAGCTGATTAAAATCTGAAGACCTATATTCTTTATACATTGTTAAATTAATCTTCATGTGGCGTTAGGCAGCTCATTTACCTTGACGCTTACCTTCCTCATCTTTTAATTGGGAATAGTGCTTTCCCACTATCCACTGTATACATGTTCCCTCTGCCTGGGATTGTCTTTCTTCTTTACCCCACCCCATATTTATGTCAGGAAGCTCCTGCTTATCCTTCAGAAGCCTGCTCTATGTGATCTCCTTCCCCAAACCTAAGACACTTCCAGCCCCATCTCTGGCCAGAGGGTGTTAGGCCTTTCTGCAGCTAGGGAATCACAATTACTTGTTTATTTCCTTGTTTATTATAGTGCATTTCATAGAAATCATTTGTTCATTTCTCTGTTAGATTGTGAGCTCTTTCAAGATAGAGTTTTCTTGTTCATTTTTTAAAAATCATCCCAGTGTAAGTACAGTGCCTAGAACAAAATAGGCCTTTAGGAAATGCCCTACTTCACAATGTTATCCTGCAGATAATTACTAGATATGAAAGTATTTTATAAATTATATACCTAAAAAAACGGGAAGATGTTAGTATTAAGAGAAACTGCATGGGTCTATATCAGGAAGTTCGTCCCTTTCAAAATCACAGTGCCCACTAAGCTTAGGTTTGAATTGATGCCAAAGTTGCCTCATTAGGAAAAAGATTACATTTTTCTTAATGCTCTGATTGCTTATTATTAGGGCATTTCAGTATTGTTACTAATTGGTCCTGGAGCTTGGAAGAGAAAATCCTGTAATCACACTTTACACATTAAGTGTTTTAATTTG